ATAGATAGATAGATAGATAGATAGATAGATAGATAGATAGATAGATAGAGATAGATAGAGATTATATTTTAAAATATCTCTTTTCACAGCCTGGAGAAACTTGGATTAGCAACTGCCAGAAATGTACTTGTGAGGAATATTCGCTTATGGTACAATGTATTGAAGAACCGTGTCCTACCAAAGCTACTCCTGTGGAATGTTCTTTTGAAGGGTTTGTACCCATGACAATATTAACCCCTGAGGAAAAGTGCTGTCCTCAAAAGCAGTGTGGTAGGTACAATTTTCATCAATATTGTATTGTAAATGACCCACGCTAGCATTCCAGTTTTCATTTTGGAAATTCCCATTTATTAGATTACAGTGGCTGCTTCAATTTAGCCAAAGCTCTGAATTATAAATCATCTATTAGAGAAGTTAATCTGCCCGCTTCACAAATATTTGCTTTGAAATGAGATGTGCAGCAAATAAATTTAGTAACAAATAAAAATAGAATACTTTAAAAGAGAATATATTTGGCTCCAGATTGAACTGTAGGGTCCTTGGTGCTCTTTGAGCTTGGTATTTTTTTGCAGATGTTTTGTTATCAAACCAAGTAACATCCTCAGTATATACTTTTGATGTTAACTATTTGGTGCTGAAACGTCTCCAAGAAAACCACCAAGTTCAGAGAGCACCAAGAACCCTATAGATGCACTTTCTAGTCTCTACAAGGTCAAAAGCTAATGCTTATAGGATGCTGTTGATCAACTCACTGGCAATTTTTTTTTTTTTTTGATAAAAATGAAGTTAAACCATTTCACATTAAATTATAAAGACCACGGGTCAAATTTATATTTAAATACACAATGTACTGGATTCACTATAACTTAATCCACTCTTTGATTTGCTCTAGATAAAGTGATGCTAATAGATATTAAAATGTATTAATCCACTCATTGCTCTTCCTCCTTTGTATTTTTCATTCCGTAGTGTGCAACACTTCCCACTGTCCCAGGTCTAGTGACACCTGCCCACTGGGCTATGAATTAAAGAAGGAAAACTTGCCAGGAGGCTGCTGCATTAACACCACTTGTGGTAAGAATTGAGCCATTTTTAAAAGCAATTGCTGTATTGCTTTAATATTCTCCCCTACCCCATATTCCACTGCCTGCAAAAACACACAAAGTATATTCATCCTTTCCCATGGAAAGCCATTTCAGAGGAGATCTCTTTTTGTGGCCTTTTGGTATTTCCTGGTGTAAACTGATATTTGATCTACATCGGCTCTGAGATTAAGCATCCTTAATTCCTTATATGTGTCATTTCTGCTACTAGCCTGTTAGCAACATACAGTTTTAAAGGGACTGATTTTTTCTTCCATCTTTAAATCATGGGAGGACTGTCCCAAATAAATTGACTGACCTTGCTGAAAGATGATTCTAGCAAAGCTACTGTATGTTTCTGTCAAACATGCTACTTGTACAAAATACATATGGATGAAAGTAGTCTATTTCCAATCTGTAAAAATATGTTCTACCCCATCTCTACTTAATCTCTATTTAAAAAAAAACATTTTATCAACATTAACATTTGCAATTCAATGCATTATCATTTATGTCATAGAAAGAGCTATTCTAAATGAAGCATTCATTTTCACTGTCATTGGATCCTACTGCATATTGTTATGTATCAGAAAATGTACATAAATGTAAATCCAACAGTGGGTCTGAAACAGATCTTGCAAAATTGCTTAAGCTGTACTTGCTCGAAATATTCAGTACTGCAGCCCAGCATATATGGAGCTCACCCGGAAAAACTTTATTTGAGAGGTGCAGTGGATAAGATCAAATGCTTTAGAATTCCCATAGATTAAATTACTCAAATTTCCTACTCTGTACTGTGTGCTAAATAAACATTTTTTGTTACCACACACAGTCTTAAAAGGAAATCTTTAAAGAGCAAATTGTATCATTTTATGTCATTTTTCTTTCTGAGTTAATTTGATCTGTTGAGAACAAATGCTAAGATTAATTATAATATTATCTTTGTGTCCCACAGTGAAAGTACCAGGTTGTGTTGTCAATGGAACGTTCTACAGTGTAAGTAATTTTCATTAAAATGAAGAATAGCACCACTTAAATGACAAATTCAGGTCCAATGTTAAAAGTGTTTTTCCTATAGGAGACCATTTTTGTTTTTCCAGTTTGCTAAAGATTTTCAGGGATGACAGTGGTAAAATTCTTCCTTTTTGAAAATATAAAAGCCTGCTCTTATTTGCATTTCTTCTCAACCTTATTATTTATTTCATGTTTCTATCCTGTTCAACAAATGTAGTTCCCTTGCAGGAATACCATGGAATTAAAAACATTACACAATCCATGGTTAACCATAAACCACAACATACACCAGGATGATATCATTCATCAGTATTAAGAGTGAGAACAAAAGCAATTATAACACAGTACTCAAAATAACAGAAAGACCACAATAAAAATAAAAGCCAAATAGTTGGGAACTTTTAAAATAATAATAATAATAATAAAAAGATCTTTATTTTTATTTATTTTATTTGGTTGGTCAATTGCTTACAAGATAATAGGTATAAGTAAAAACATAGCTATGAATACATGGATACATGTAAGAAAAATAAAAGAAACAATAGGACAGGGACAGTAGGCACATTGGTGCGCTTATGCACGCCCCCTACAGACCTCTTAGGAAAGGGGTGAGGTCAATAGTAGACAGTTTAAGTCTAAAGTTTTGGGGGTTTGGGGAAGAAACCACTGAGTCAGGTAGAGTATTCCAGACATTGACCACTCTGTTGCTAGAGTTGTATTTCCTGCAATCAAGTTTGGTGCGATTAACCTTGAGTTTGTATCTGTTGTTTGCTCTTGTATTGTTTGGTTGAAGCTGAAGTATTCATTGACTGGTAGGACATTGCAATGTATGATTTTATATACTATATATAGATTGGACTGAAGGCGGCGTAGTCCTAGGTTTTCTAGGTCTAGAATTTCAAGTCTGGTGACATAAGGTATTCTACAATGAGTAGAGGAGTGGAGAACTCTTCCTGTGAAATATTTCTGGACTTTCTCAACTGTATTAATATCAGATATGTAATGTGGATTCTAGACTGATGAGTTGTATTTGAGTATTGGTCTAGCAAATGTTTTGTATGCTCTAGTTAGTAGTGTAATATTACCAGAGAAAAAGTTACATGAGATTAGGTTAACAACTCTTAACGCCTTTTTGGCTACAGTGGGCTTTAGCACTTAGATCATTAGAGATGAGTACTCCAAGATCCTTGACAGAGTTTGGATCATAACAAGGTCTTGACTATTCAGACTGTATTTTATTTGCTGATTTTATTTTGCCAATATGTAAGACTGAGCATTTATTTGTTGAGATTTGACGTTGCCATTTGTTTGACCATTCTGATACATAGTCGAGGTCTTTTTGAAGGACAGCAGTATTGTCTGTGGTGTTGAATAGCTTTACATCATCAGCGAAGAGAACGCAGTTGCTCTTAATATGATCACAGAGGTCATTTATGCAGAGTATGAAGAGAATTGGTCCTAGAACACTGCCTTGGGGGACACCACTGTTGACAGGTACAGAATCTGATAGGACGCTCCCAATTTTGACCATTTGTTTTCTGTTTCACAGGAATGCTTCTATCCAGTTATGCAGGGGTCCAGAGATACCATAAGATTTTAGTTTTAGGAGTAGTTTGTCGTGTACCACTGAATCAAAGGCTTTACAGAAGTTTATGTAGATTGCGTCTATTGCTTTGCCCTGATTGAGTTGTGTAGTCCATATGTTTTTGCAGTGTAAGAGTTGCAGATTGCAGGATAGTTTTTTTCTGAAACCTAATTGTTTATTAGAGAGTAGGTTGTTTGTCTCTAAGTGAAGGATAATGGATTGGTTAATAATTGATTCCATGACTTTACAGGTGATGCAGCATAAGGAGATTGGTCTGTAATTTTCAACTAGGCTGGGGTCCCCCTTTTTGAAGATGGGGATGACTGTGGCTTGTGACCATAGTTTTGGCAAGGAGCTGGTCCTGAAAGATTTTTCAAAGATTATGCTTAGAGGTTCAGCTATGTTAGTGGATAACTTTTTTGAGAAGTAGGCACATATTCCATCCGGCCCAATAGATAGAGATGGTTTTAGATTGCACAGTGCTTTTTCAACATTGTCTACTGTAAAATCGATATGTATTAGATCGTTGTACTTGTCTGTAGTTCTACTAGGAAATACTGGACATGATCCATTGCTGTTTACAAATACTGAGCCAAAGAATGTGTTAAAGAGGTTGGCTTTAATAGTATCATCGTTGCAGTCTTTACCATTAGGTCCTTTCAGGTGTGGGATGGACCTTGAGCCTTTTAGTTTGTTGTTTACAAAATTGTAGAAAGCGCAGATGGAATTGGTGCGTAGAAGGTTTTCCTCTTGTTTAATGTGATAATTGGTGCATTCAGTCTTAATCTGGTGGCATAAATTTTTGTATCGGCTTTGAATTTGACAACATGACCAGATTTGTTTTTCGACCAAAGTAATCTCTTTTTGGATTGAAGCTTCCTTATTGTTATGGGTAGTCTGTTTTTACTGGTTTTTGGAGTTATTATTGGTACATATAATTTGATGACTCTTTGACTTCAAGTAAAAATATGTTGTAATGGTCTTCAACAGTATTGCATCCAGTGAATAGAAATTGCCAATCAGGGGATGAGAGATCATTGTCTATACAATCATAGTTGCCTTTTTTGAAGTTATAATTGGGGATCGCATCATTGTGTTGATTTTTGTGTGGATGTATGTTGAGACAAAAGTCAATCATGCTGTGGTCACTGTTGGAAAAGAGTTCTTTAATTTGTATTCCGTAAATTGAATTCAAACTATTGCAGAATATGAAATCGAGGCAGTTATTAAGTCTAGTGTTGTTAGTTACTAGTTGTTCCAGTCCCAGGTTTGTTACAGCATTGTAGAAGGTTGCATGTATGGGTTCAGTTTTACATTCATTTAGGGTCCAGTTAATGTGAGGTAGATTGAAGTCACCAAGAAAGATAAAAGTGTGGGGGAAAGATGTTGCCCATGTTAGTAGTGAATTTAGCTTGTTCAATGTCATAATCAGGGGCTCTGTAACATAGTAAGAATCGAAATGTGATATTTAAGGACAGTTCACAGACGATGGTCTCAGGAAGAACAAGCTCTTGGGTAACTTGGATGTTTTTTAGATGTAAGGACTTTTTATAGAAGATAGCAATACCACCTCCTCTACGGATTTCACAATCTGATCGGTAAACATGATAGTCTCTTACTGTGGTAATGGAGTCAGGGAGAGATGTGTTGAACCATATTTCACAGACAGATATGATGTTGAATTTAGCCATATTTAGTAAGTGGAGAAATTCAGGTATTTTATTCACAAGGCTTCTTGCATTAAGTAGCTTGCATTTAAGGCCAGTTGTAGTTGGAATTGAGGTAGTTAGGGGCGTGCGTGCTTAGTTTTGAGTGATGGTGGGTTGGATGAGGTGGAGTTGGATGTGGAGTTGTGGGTTGTGTGACTTACTTTTGATACAATCAGTGTGGTAGTCAATGTAGAGATCCTTCTCTCCATTGTCTAGACGTCCTCTGAGTTCCTTGCAGAGTTCAAGGGGCGGATTCTTTGCAGTATGGATAAGTGTGGTCTTGAGTGAAGTTTTTTGTGGTTGGGATTGTTTTTTGCAATGGCGTTTATTGTATGAATGAATATCTGTTTGCTGGACTCATTTTTGCAAACAACTCTACAAAATTTGGGGGCCACCAAGCCATCATTGCATTTGGACTCAGGACCATCTCTGGTTATTTCAATGATATCTTCAGGAGAGATGTTTGTTGTATTCCGGTTACTTATGTTATTATGAACTTTGGTGATGTCATCTGATTCGTTGGTGTCTTCAAGACCAAATAAGATGGCATTTGGATGTTTTTGATCATGATGTCTCTGATGAGTAAGGGGATATCATTTGTGGAATTATTTGATGGGATAGTAATTATTTGTGGTTGTGGTTTGGTGGTTATTTTTGGTTGTAGTTGTGATTGTAGTTGAGGTAGTAGTTGTGGTAGTGGTTGTTGGGTTGGGATTTGTTTTGAGCTGATAGGTAGTTGCTTATCAGTGCTGTTTTTTTTTCAAGAGAAATTAGGCTTTCTTGTGTAATTGTTTCAAAAAGTGTTGCTAAGCGTTTTTCTATTGAGTGCATGAGTGATTCTATGCTATCAACTCTGTCAGGCAGGGTACTTGGTTTGTTTAGCTTAGGAAAACATGACGGACATAGACAAGGAAATGTATCTGATGCTTTTAGGAGATCAGCTACGTCTTTGTTTAAGTTTAAGCAGGCAAGGTGGGCTTGATTGTCACATAGGTAGCATTTGATGTTATTTTCACTTTCATTGATGGTTTTAAGACATTTGAAGCATGTACAGAAGTCTGGTAGATCATTGGTAGAGATATTATTTTGTTGTTGCTGTTGTTTGGTAGTGGAGGCATGGTCAATGACAATAGTACACTAAACAATTAGATTAGCTAATTAATGTGATAGGTAGACAGTTACTTAACGAATGTTGGTAATTAAAGCCACATTTTTTGGTTTTTGTTTTGTTTTTGTTTTAAAGAGGAAGTGTTGCTGTTTGATAGATTTGAATGAAGAAGATTTGAATGAGCTCACCAATCATCTACTTTGGAGTTTGGAAAGGATAAGATTTGAGTGGGGGTTTAGTGGAGGTTGTCCAATCAGCTGAGTGGAAATTAAACTCAGGCTGACTAATCCGCTGGGTGATTTAAATGAAGCTGGGTGATTTATATGGAGACTATCAATTCTCTGTGAGTCTCCTTTGTTCTTACCAATTAGTGGCTGTTTAGAATTATTTTTGGTGATTTGATTTAAATGGAGACTGTAGACATCATGCCAGTTCTTCCATTCAGAATTCACAATCAATCTCAGTTTCAAAAGTCAGTTTTCCTGAATAAAAACCTTTCTTCACACCTCTTCTTCTCGACTAGTCCCCCTTTTTTTCCTCCTTTTATCACCCTTTTCTCAAACTGCCATTTAACTTCCAGAGTTGGAGGGTAAAAACATAAATTAAGCCACTGCCGCTTAATCTCCACACTCACCCCTTCCACTCTGGAGTCTTCGCTTTTTAAGTTGTTTCTGACTTGGGTCCACAGTAAATCTTCAAGCTGTTTACCTGCTCCTTCCTCCCACTGAAAAATGCACTGCTGATCTTCACCTGGCATCTTAAAGATAAAAACACAAGTATCAAGCATAGATCTTTCTGAAGAACAGATCACAAGTAGATAGATCGTAGTAGTTCCAGGAATGAAATTAGGTTAGAATTATTTATGACTGTTTCACTTTTCTCCTTCTTCAGCCTGGGGCAGTCATACCAGCGGGATTATGCGAATCATGCATATGCTCTGAAAAAGGAGATCCAGAGAACAATGTGGAATGTGTGTTTCAAACATGTGACCAAAGATGCCCGCTGGTAAGCCACATTGTTCTTTTAAACAAACAAGAAAATTTCATGGCTTTCAAACTCTCTGAATCAACCCATCTACTCACTACTTATTTTAAAAAAAAGTTCTACGATTTTATGAATTTTTCCCATTTTTCTGAACTACAGGGTCACAAATATCAGAAAGTATCTGGACAATGCTGTGGCCGATGTGTTCAGTTTGCTTGTGTTCTGACACTGGATTCCTACCCGGCCCAAGTGCTCAAGGTAACTTGCAATTTTGCTAACTCCACTGTTCATCAAATTCACATTTAATCCACTCCTGTATCTAATGCTGATCCAATATTATAATCCTTTTTTTGTGGCAGTTTCTAAGCAAACACCAGGGTCATTAAGTGAACTAGTTGTTTGCTATGCACCATTTTTTGCCAAAAACTAGAAATAAATTCCAGCTTTTGGCAAAACCATCATAAAATGCAGTAACATGAGTGCAGGATGCTGCAAAATAGCCATGTATGTAGGCCAGTTGCCAAACACCTGAAATGTAGTCATATAATTGCAGGGGAGGCCCAGCTGTTGTAACTGTGGATGCTGATCGTTAGTAGCTTTTGAGGGTCCATTGTAACTTTGAATGGTCGCTAAGTGCCCAGTCGTAAATTGAGAACTACCCATACTGAGTTCCTGACAGGGTACACCCCTTTTTCAGGATTCCCCTGGATGGGTAGCCATAACTCAACCCCAGGCCAAGCTTCCACTGTTGGTGGGCGTGCCAAACCAACAGTTATCATCAAACTACATATGCGTCAATGTAACAAATTGCATTCATCATACGTTGAGGAATGCTAGGATCCAGCCAATTGCTGTATTTCTCAACTATCCAGATTTTTCACTTCTATCATTTCACATTTTGAGGACACCTCTACCTGAACTGCATGCCACCCTCCACCCCATTCCCAGTTCTGTTCTCTGAGAAATTAAGGAATTTATGATCATGAACTATTTTTATGTTATCTTCTAAAATAAATAAATAAATACATAACTACAATTGTGGCTATTTTCAGCCAGGAGAAACTTGGTACCCACCAGGAAACAACTGTACTGCATATGAATGTAATCTTTTTGAGAACCAATATATTCCTGTCTCTATCAAGAGAGAATGCCCTCCGTTTGATCCAAATTGCCGGCCGGTAAGTTTCACTGATCCAACAGTCTTTGTTTTATCGTATTTGGTTCTATGCGATGAAAATGGATTTTATCAAAAGATTAATTTGGAATTAATTGGGTTTATTATGGAAGGTTTACAACTGAACTGTATCAGTTGAATTTAAGCAAAAGCTTCAGCCATAATCTGACATTCTGTTGCTAAAATATGTTGTGATATAAGCAGCTCTATAAAACTGTAAACTAATTGGCTGCCTTTGTCAGTAGTACCCATCTTTAGTGCACTAAAGGAGACAATATATTCAAAGCAAAGTGAATACTGACATAGAGAATTAGTAAGAATGTTTCTGTTGTTGTTTCATATATAATATTTATAGAAGAAGTAGATGCATCAAGATATATAATATCCTTTTAGGATTGTCAACCAAATATTGTTCTTTAGCTAAACTAAACCAGTTAGCCATGCCTGACACACTTGTAAGTGGATCATAAGCTTTCTAACAGACAGGAAACAGCAGGTGAACCTAGGTAGAATCACATCAGATACCTATACAATTAGCACAGGGGGATCCCAGGGCTGTGTGCTTTCTCCACTTCTCTTCTCTCTCTGTACCAATGACTGCATCTCAAAGGATCCCTCTGTTAAAGTACTGAAGTTTGAAGATGATACAACAGTGATTGGTCTCATTCGAGACAATGACGAATCTGCATACAGACAGGAGGTTGAACAACTTGCCTTGTGATGCAGTCTTGAACTGAACACACTTAAAACTGTAGAAATGATAGTAGATTTTAGGAGGAGCCCTCCTACACTACCAGCACTCACAATACTAGATAACACAGCAGCAACTTGCTCCTTCAAGTTTCTAGGTTCTGTAATACCTCAAGACTTAAAATGGACACCTAACATCAAATATGTCATCAAAAACACATAAAAAAATGTTCTTCCTGCGCCAGCTTAGAAAGCTCAGGCTGACCCAGGAGCTGCTGATACAGTTCTACAGAGAAATTATTGAGCCTGTCATCTGCACCTCTATAACTGTCTGGTTTGGCACTGCAACCAATCAAGACAAATACAGGCTTCAACGGATAGTTGGAACTGCAGAAAAAACAGTTGCTACCAATCTGCTTTCCATTATATACTGCATGAGCCAGAAAGAGGGTTGTGAAAATATCTATAGACTCCTCGCATCCTGGACATAAACTGTTTCAACTTTTACCTTCAGAACTATGCTATTGGGTGCTACATGTCAGAACAGCTAGACACAAGGACAGTTTTTTCTCCCATGCCATCACCCTGCTAAACAACTAATTCCCACAACACTTTCAAACTATCATAATACTTTCTAACTACCTAGAAAGGCAGAATTACCATCTTCCCTATTACCTATCTCCTTATGACTATAGCTTTGTTATGATTTATATTGTTTACTTAGTGTCCTGGTATGATTTATGTTGATTGCTTGTTTAGTATCCATGACTATCACTAAGTGTTGTATCTAATATTTTGATTATGATAATGATCTATCACTATTGTGGTGTGTACACTGAGAACTAATGCACCTGAGATAAATTCCCTGGTCTAATCACACTTGGCCAATAAAGAATTCTAATGTTAATCCTACATGATATCCCTATGGAGGGAAATGGTGGTTTTAACACCATAAATTAAAATCTGAAACATTTTATTTTTATAGGAGGATGTGCAATTCACTGATGATGGATGTTGCAAGTGGTGCAAACCTCAACGTAAGTTATGCAAGTTATATTAGCATAAGTCAAAAAATTCAAATTTGTATCAGTGATAAAGGCATCTTTTGTGCTGCTATAGATGCTATTATACACCTTTCAGATGGCACTGGACTTCAATTCCATTCAAGCCCACTTATTATAGTTGGTGGGCAAAGTGGCTAGGATTTGTAGCCACACAATTCTGTACAGAAGCAAATTGACATGGTTATCATCGCTTGTCACATACATGCACACATTATACAGATAACCTTTGAGTTACAACAGTTAATTTAGTGACTGTTCAAAGTTAAAACAGCACTAAAAAGATGACATGACATTTTTTCACATTTATTACCATTACAGCATCACATGGTCAAAATTCAAACACTTAGCAACTGGTTCATATTTATGATGGTTGTGGTCCTGTGATCACCTTTTGTGACCGTCTGACAAGCGATGTCAGTAGGGAAACCAGATTCCCTTAACAACTCTATTGCTAACAACAACTGCAGTGATTCACTGAATAACTATGGCAAGAAAGATTGTAAAATGGGGCAAAATTCACTTAACAATTGTCTTGCTTAGCAACAGAAATTTTAGGCTCAATTGTGGTTGTAAGTTGAGGACTACCTTGTACACGTACGCTTTATTTTTTTGTTTGTTTGTTTGCTTTATGCTTGTGATCAGAGACTCAATTTCTTTTATTGTTTCTCTTTTCTTCCACTCTCAAGCGCTGAAACTCTGTGGAACAATGAATATCACCAAAACAATAAAACACAATGGCTGTGAATCTTCACCAATTGAAGTAACATACTGTAAAGGCCAATGTGACAGTTTTTCAATGTAAGTAACCTTGAATTTTATTGCATCTTTGCTAACTTATTGTGAAATAACTGTTTAGCAAATCTTCACATGCCACGATATATGAATGCAAAGAAATTATCTAAGAAGAAATTATCTCTTAGGATATCTGCAAAGCAGTCCAGATGCCATTTTAATTTCATCTTTCAGCATTTGAAATGGAGGTTCATCTAAGACTCAATTCCTCAATTGCTGATGCATTGCCCAGCATCTTAAATTATTCCAAATGAAGATGAAATTCTACTTAAGGTAGATTTAGATGGATCAGGGTACAGGCCTAGCTCCCATTCCTTTAGGAAAAAAATGGCAAATGATCCACAAAGGAGAGATGTGGTGTCTGGCAGAGGCCAAAAGAAAGGTAGCAGCAAGCAGGTGAGTGAGAGGAGAGAGTGGCAACAATGAACAAGGAGGAGGGAAGAAAAACACTATGGTGGCCCATCAACATTAATAATCTGAAGGACCCCAAAACTGATTGCATTGATAGAGGTAGTGTAGGTCAGGAGTCTCCAACCTTGGCAACTTTAAGACTTGTGGACTTCAACTCCCAGAATTCATCAACCAGTTATGCTGTGAGGAATTCTGGGAGCTGAAGTCCACAAGTCATAGAGTTGCCAAAGTTAGAGACCCCTGCAGTTGGTTATAATGTTTTGACTCTCCAAAGCAATGCAAATGACATTGAAAAGACAAAAATCTGATGAAACCAAATAATGGTCGGTGAAGGGTAGTGGACTTCATCTTGCGGCAGCTCATCTCAATCTCAACTTGCTTTCACCATTCAGGTATTCCTATAAAGCAAACACAATGAATCATACATGCCACTGTTGTCAAGAGCAAAAAACTACAAAGAAGCAAGTGACCCTGATTTGCGCCGACGGGTCCACTTTGGAGTATTCTTACCTCCATGTTGACGAGTGCGACTGTATCAAGAGTGAATGCAACCATTTGCCCACTTCGACACCAGTTCCGCAAGAAGAGTTCACCTTCCTATTACAGGAACAGCAGCAGCAACTAGAACAGCAGCAGCAGAAGAAGAAACAGCAAGAATAAAAGCTGCAGCAGGAATGAAAGGGACTCTCAGGACCAGTCTTAAACATTTTCAAAAAGTGGCCCAGAATTGCATAAAAGTTAAAATGTAATAAAATGTACACATTATGCTCAAGCAACATTCAACCAAATATTTCCTCTGTCTACTCTTCAAGAAAAGGTTTTCTCTTCTGCATGCCAAGCTTGTTGAAATGTCCTGACCTTTTCTTGGGTATAGGCTCAACTGAGACTATATGACTGAGTTGGGGGAGGGGGGGAAACCTTGGAAGTGGAGGGAAGAGGGCTTGGTGTCAATAATTGGAATCGGGGGAGGGGGTGAAGAAATAAAAAGGATGTATTGGTTTGGTTTGGGAATCTTCTCTTGAGAAGTGACAATTCCTGCATTAAGTGACAGATAGTACCATTTTATTAAGACTGGTGGAGTTTTTAGCATTAGCTGACAGAAGCCAGACAAGATCTGGAAACTGAGTAGGATTCATCTCTGTTGCATGTGACAAGAACATTGGTTGATATTTGCTAAAATGGCAAGTGCAGCTCTCAGTTCTCTGTCATAATTTTTCTTACCGTGTTTCCAAATTCCTTTTTCTACAAACTTCATTTTTTTCCACTCTTTCCAAATATGAAAATAATGATGTCAGATTTTTTTGAAGATTTAGTACTATTTCAACAAGGGCGGCGGGGGGGTGGGGGAAACATGAAGTATGGCTGCTGCTGCTGCTGCAGAAGACTGTTTACATGATACCATCAGCATAGTAGTTGTATGAGGATCTGGATTATTTTTATAATTGTTTACAGAATGGACTAATATAAATATATGCACACCAAAAGGTCGTTGGAGAATGTTTGTAAATCAAATAATATATAACAATACTATAACTTAGAATTTCTGTTCTGAGTTAGTGAATTGTTTTCAAACATCTAATTACTATTTATTTGTTTCCAGAAAATAGATTTTCAGGGATATTTTCTTTTGAATAAGGGCTTTACTGTCTGTCAACTAATGCCTGGTTGAGGGAAAATTTCATCTTTTATACTTATTATTTGTTGCTCAACAAATAACTAGATGATTAATAAAATTACAGTATTTTGCAGGGGATACGCTTCTTGTTGTCAACTGCACCATACCAAATCATTATCTCATTTCACTTCATTAGTATTATACTTTAAATAGCCAAAGAGCATGGTTGTTCACATAACAATGTTACTCCTATAGTCCCATTAATAATTCTACACTGCTTAATGTAGAATTGCTTCTACATAATTCTGCATTGCTTAACACAAAAATTACCATCATCCCCCAACTTCTGTGCTGCCTCATTGGATTGGTGGGAAGAGGGTAGAGTGGGTTGACTATATTCCAGAGTACAGGTAATCCTCAATTTACGGTCATAATTGAGCCAGATTATAGCTATAATTCATTACAGTTATATTAAATGGGTAACCATGTGACTGTTTGCAGGATTCATTCAGTGAACACCCTATATTCATTAAGCAAATCTATTCGATTCAATTGGCATTTTTTGCTGAAAACTGGAAATAAATGCCAAAAAAACAACAAAAACCCATCAAAAATTGTGATCATATGACTGGAAGCTACTGCAAACCACTATAAATGTGAGCCAAATGTGAGCCAGTTGCTAAGCATCCAAAATCTGATCACATGATCAGGTTGGGGGATATGGTTGGTGGAACTGCAAAATTGTGTCGTAAGTACCTTTTGGGGGGTCTAATATAATCTCAAACAATTGCTAAATGACCAATCATTAAGCAAGGACTACCTGTACATACTCTCAATGAAGATCATCGCAGATGCCCAGCTAAAGCAAGCAGGCACCAACACTGAGCAATGGTGATATAGAAAGATGCCAGAGGCAGATGATCACTTTAGTGATAATAGCAAAGGCTTTGATTCATATTGCGTAGGAAGTCAAAGATAAACCCTCCTGTATTTTTATCAAGAAAACCACATGGATAGAAATTTTATTTCATTAATCAAATGTATATGACCACCTATCTCATTGAAGGTGGTTGATGCCAAATAAGGGGCCCCTCAGGTTGGATGGCACTCATATGCTACTAAGAAAGAACAGTGGATATTTCACTAATAGCAATAGCACTTAGACTTATATATCACTTCATAGTGTTTTACAGCACTACAACAATCTGGGTCCTCATTTTACCAACTTTGGAAGGAAGGAAGGCTGAGTCAACCTTGAACCGCTCAGAATCAAACTCCTGGAGTAAGCATGAGTTAGCCTGCAGTACTGTACCAGCTCAGTGGTTATGACATGGCTAGATTAAAATCTTCTGGACATCTAGGGATTGAAGTTGTTACACAGGAAAAGAAAATCTAAAGCAACAAAGACAGAATTACACTAGGAACATGAAATGTAAGAAACACAAGGAAGTTCAGCACAGTGAAAGATGAAATGAAACAATTACAAATTGACAAAGTAGGCACCAGCAAATTGAGAGGGACTGAGATGAGACACTTTCAGTCAGAAGATCATATTCTTTATTACTCGGCACATGAAAAACAAAGAAGAAATGTCTTGCTTTCATGGTGAGAAAGGATAGAGCAAGAACAGTATTTGGCTACAACACAATCAGTGATGAAATAATGTCGAATCAACTTTGCGGACAATCCTTTAATATGATGATCAATCAATATTGAAGTAATCAGCTTCTTTTTCTTCTACATCAGTAGAAGAAAATCAATAGAACATGCAAGCAAGATGTGCTGCTTGTGATTGGAAACCTGAGTGCCAAGGTTGGAAATATGAAAGAGGAAAATATAGTTGGATTGTGTAGCTTAGGAAATAAAAATGAAGCAGGAGGCTGACTTATCCATTTTTGCCACCACAAAATTTTTTCATAGCTAAAAAGGTCTTTGAACAACCAAAATGATGCCTTTATATATGGACTTCACTAAAGTGAATATATAGAAATCAAATTGTTTATATTGTTGCTAAGAGGAGGAGGAAGAGCTCAATTATAGCATCAAAGCACGGCCAGGAACTGATCACAAATTGCTCAGGTGCAAATTTTAGGTTAAGCTACAGAACATATATCCATCATTTTTCAAAGAGAGCTTTAAGAATAGCTCTGAAGTTTTGCACTTCATTGGTAGAGAACCAGAGGAATTCTGAAATGAACTCAAAGAAGTTTTTAAGAATGAATGTAAAAGGAGACTGTCGAAAAAGAAAAGAAAAAAAGCACACCTGTTAGAACAAACTGTGGAAATTGCCAAGAAGAAAAAAGAACTCAAAGCCAAGAAAGACAAAAACCTCAGAAAGGAACTTAAAAGGTTTCAGAGAGCTGTTAAAAGAAACAAGAAATTATATTACAGCAACATCTATAAAGACATTGAATTTGGAAACAGACATGGGAAACAAAGAAGTCTTTCAAAAGATCTCTGAACTCAGAAAAAAGTTCCAGCCTTGAATTGGTATGCTACAAGATGCCAAAGGACAAATAGTAACAAATTATAAGGAGACCAGAGGAAAATGGAATGAATATAATGTTATATATATGAATATATATAACACTACACAGTAGAGATATCAACATCCAAGATACTTTAGAACAGTGGTCGCCAACCAGTGGGCCGAGGACCACTGGTGGTCCATGAGAAAATTTTGGTGGTCCACAGAGAAATGCCTCCCCAAAGCACTCCCCCCAAAGCAATTAATCCAGGCTGTGCGGGAACACAAGGCTGCACCGCCCACATGGCCTGTCCACCCACTGGTCCCCACCCTTCAGCCAAGCACAAATCTTACCTTGAGTAGAGCCATGCGAGCTGGAACTGAAAGGTCAGACCAATGGCGGGGAGGGAAATCCACCCCAGGGTGGCTTGCTGATGTTAGTGGGAAAGTCATCCTGGAGCATCTCCTCCAGTGCATGGCAGGCCAGTGCACTCAGGTGGAGAAGTAGCTGCTCTGGGATGACCAAAGGGTCAGTCCTGTGACAACTTTAGCTCTGGAATATGGGACCGACTTTCCCACCAACATCAGCAAGCCACAGTCAGTCAAAATTCATATTAGTGGTCCGCGGGATTTAAAATTATGAGTTTGGTGGTCCCTGAGGTCCAAAAGGTTGGCAACCGCTGCTTTAGAAGATATTTCTCACTTAGAGGAATGTCTAGTACTAAAAGATGAAATTAAATTTACCCTCTGGTCATTGCCAAATTAGAAGGTTTATAGGAACTGATGGTATACTCACTGAAATATGGCAAGCAACAGAAGAAGAACTGGTCAAGATTCTAACCAAGCTATGCTAGCAACTCTGAATAATGGCATGGTGGTCAATTATTGGAATTCCAATATTTTAAAAGGGAGCTTAACAAAGTGTGTAACCTATTGTATAATATCCTTCATTGCCACTGTATGGTGAGAACTTTGCAAAGCAGAAATGGCTCCAGTTCAGCAAAGAAGTGCAACAAGATTGCATACTCTCTCCTTATTCAACCTGTATGCTGAATATATATTAGGGGAAGATGGATGAAATTCATGACGATTTAGCCCTAACCCATTCTTTCAAGTCTTCTAATGGTGAACTCATCGTTGCTATAACTGAGATCATGTGCCTTGCTATTGGTTACCCTTGTCTTCTCTTTCCTTCTGCTTTTTCCAGCACTGGAGCCCTTTCCAGAGGGCCAGGTCTTTGCATAATGTGTCCAAAATAGGATAAATTGAACCTGGTCATTTATGCCTAAGTGAAAACCTTGGGTTGATTTGTTTGATGATCTCTGGTTTGTTTTCTTGGCTGTCCACAGTATTTTCAGGAGTCTTTTCTGACTCCAAAGCTCAAAGACATCAATATTCTTCCTATCCTGCTTTTTAAAAGTCCAGCTTTCACTTCCATAGAGTATCCCAAGAAATATCATGGTTTGCACAATACTGATCTTTGCAAGTATAAATTTTGCCAAGGTCTTCCTGGCCACTCTACTAAGTGCTAATCTATGGATTATTTCTTGACTGCTTGTTCCTTATTTATTTATTTATTTATTTGATTTGATTTGTCAATTGCTTACAAAATAATAGTATAAGTATAAACATGAGTAAGAATACAGAAAATAGATATGATTAAATGGGGACAATAGGACAGGGACGGATGGTGCACTTATGCATGCCTCTTAATTTTTGTTAATGTTTGATCCCAAGTTGTGGCTTGTCCACCACTTCAATAACTTCATTATCAATTCTAACACTGGTTGTTCTACCTCTTGTCATTAGTTTGATCATCTTTATATTTAACGTTGTTCAAAAGATAAGAGTTGGAAAATATCCCAGCTATGTCTTTCCTAACAGTAAACTGGACGGACTAATGGTTTGACTCAGCACAAGAAAATTTTCTGTGTTACATTGGTAAAAAATTTAGTTGGGCACGGAAAAGAATATGAAGGATTTTTAGTAGTTGAGTACAGGTAGTCCTCAACTTACAATGGTTCACTTTGTGACTCTTCAAAGTTACAACAACCCTGAAAAAAATTACTTATGATTGTTTTTTCACATTTATGACTGTTGCGGCATCTCTATAGTCATGCAATTTACATTTGGGTGGTTGACAACTGACTCACATTTATGACGGTTGCAGCATCCCAGAGTCATGTGATTATTCTTTTGCAACCTTCTGACAAGCAAAGTCAGTGGGAAAACCAGAGTCACTTAACTATCATGTTTCTAATTTAAGAACTCCAGTGATTCACTTAACAAATGTGCTGAGAAAAGTTGTAAAATGAGGCCAAACTCATGTAACAAATTTATCACTTAGCAACATAAATGTTGGGCTCAATTGCTATTGTAGGTTGAGGACTACCTTTATTTCCATATTGAACTTGCACATCTCTTTTACTGTTAAAAGGATTACAATATAAATGGTGTGCAATGTATGAATTAAACATAAACGGGAATTGAAAAAGCAGTCCAATCCCAAAAAATAAACAACAAAAGCCCTGTGAAACCCACAAACAAGTTATGTGTCTAATTTTTAAAAAAGGAAAATGTATTTCATTTCTTGAAAGAAATGCAAAATCTCTGTTCCTGACTTTTTAAACTTGCAAACAAATTGAAAGCAGATATAAATTGACA